AGCGCACTAGGCAGGTTGTTGCACTGTGTCCTGCAAGGACATGGAAAAACAAGCTGTGAGTAAACGTATCAGTCCTCATCAGCAGATTCAGAGATATATCGAGAACAGATTGTTGCCAAACGTTGTTTTACAAACAGCGTGTAGCCTCCATGCCATATCGATCAAATCACTTTTGGCGTGAATGTACTTTACGGCTGATTCTACCGTTGCGTGCTTATTACCTAGTTAAACTTAGGTTTCAAAATATGTGTTCTGGAAGGTGGCAGAGTACTTCTATAATATTGTTCTTTGACATTTAACTTAGTTCAGTCATGGCACTAGTGACAAGTACAGTAAAACCACCGCTTCGTAGTGTCCAAAACCCTACTCGAGGTTGCTAATTTTCCTTCTACTTTTCAAATTTTTTAAAGGCAAGTACTATCATCCCTTTGACATAACAAGAAACGGTGGAAGAATCCCTTTCTGTCCCTGCAAAGCCTAATGGTCGAGTAAAATAATATTGAAAATTGTCTCAAAGTTGGGTATGCCAAAAATCAAACCCGGCCTCGCCCTGGCCAAATAGTGAGGCAATCAGTTCCTTTGGTACGTACCTATTTGCAACGCCACCGTACTGCGCCCCCCACGCTGAGGATGTATAAGCAGGCCACTCCTTCGGACAACCCTCAGTGAACATACCAAACCCACCACCAGGAATCTGCAGATCGAATTGGTTGCTAGACAGAAAGAAAACCCGATTAAAATAGCAGTTGAACGGTGTTCACTGCTACCCCGAAAGCGAAAGCGGTCAACTTTTGTTCCCAACTGGTATGTCTCTGTTCCTCGGTGTTCCTCGTGCTACGAAGATTAAAACTTGGCAAAACGGTACCCCTCGTTGATATAAAGGCTTATGACGTGTGAAATTCTCACACCTCTCCATAAGAGCTCTGGAAGGCTTAAATTAAAGGAAACGTAGAACAAGCGATATAAACTTGTGCAAAGTCACCATCAGTGCTCTCAACCTCAACATCGCGCGGGCTTTAGAGGATTGACTCAATGTCAGAGGCCGTCAGAGACAGACGGGCGGAGTACAGCTCAGCAAATTATTCCAACAGCTGTATTGGAGACGACTCATCGGGATATCAAAAGCCCAGTGTACGAGAGCAAGCGAACGCGAGTTGTCGACCCCTAGTTTAGGGGTCGAAAAGGCTCGGCTCACGAGCCACTTACTGGTTTGTCAATTCGCGTAGCCCAGTCGCATGCCTCCTGAGGAGCCGCACTCCTCTAGCGCCTAACTAAGGTAGCAGGTCTTTATCAATGTACAGCATTGGCATCAACGTTGCTACTGTAATGAGAAAGTGCGAGCCACGAGTTTGAGACCGCTGCCCGAGAACAAACAATTTAGAGCAATCACGAACTTTTTCCAAAAAATGGGCAAAGATTTTTCCTGGAGACAGAGAGACCGTTAAACCAACCTTTAATCCTTTCGAAAACACGTATTCATTTTTAAACCGTGATTTTTGGTTCGTTTACTAATGAAAAAACAATGTTATGTTTTACCAACCTATTCAAGTCGCTTCCGGTGTTTATGACTTGCACAGTGAGTTTCTGTCCCTGCACAGGTGCAGCGTTGAATGTCAGGGTGTAACAAGCGCAGCAGAGCGAACTGGTGGCAAGGCCTGAGGGGAAAGAAATAACACACTGCTAGCGTATATTCCACAAACGTTACGGTAGCAACATTTTAAATCTGAAAAGAATTTACTCTACTTATAATTAATGTCACATCAGATTTTTATATTATACTCAAAAAATAGTTGGAACTCTGAAAATATTATTAACAACTCGTCCATATTATGAAAAATGTCTGTGCTAATATAGAACGTACATAATTATTGTCGTGCAATTCTTTCCTCCTGCCAATGCTCTCGTTCGTATTATGGATGATTTTACTCCCGATATGAATGATCTTTGGAATCGGATGTAATGAATGGACAACCGATCGCTTTGTAAGGTACTTATCCTAAAATCATTTATAATATCAACGAGAGCCTTTACATTACGAGCGGTGTTCTTATTATAACAGCATAAAAATATATTTTAACTATAAACACAACACATTCATAATATAAAGAGAGGCGGTACTTAAGATTTTGAGAGTGTAGCCATGCTATTCTCTTTTTGTACCTCGCAACTTTTTGGCGGTGCCGTAACATTCAACCTGTTCGGAGAAAAGGCAGTGGGACCAGATTATTGCGGGTTTGTCTGCTACGGCGTCATAACGCAAAGTAACGCGCAACACTTACTCAACCGAAAATAAAACTGCAAATCCAAAGCTTTATTGAAACGTTTTCTGGTTTCTGAAAGCGTTCTTCTTGCGAATGCTGAAGAAATTTTTAAAAACGGTAGATTAAAGCATTGCAATTGTAGTTTTGTTTTCATGTGGTGTCCGTTACGCGTTACGACCGCAACAGTACCCTAACACTTATGAAATGCGCGGTGCGCACCCCCCTCTTAGCCGCAAGACCACACAAGTCAACGTTTTTCTGTTGATTGTTGAAAACATGTTCATTAGATATAAGGGCTGAGGAGTGAGGACTGATCGCTAGAATCTTAACCAACACATTGCATTCTTGAGACAAGGCGAAATGCGTTGCGCCAACGCTATTTTAGCCTCAAAAAATGTAAGTAAAATTGTCTTTCACGTAAGGCAAACGCTGTTAAAATAAAGTTAAACTTTCCTTAGACTCACTTAAATTCGTGGAAAACAACCGAAAATCCTTATACCAAGGTCAAAAATTCCCTTGTACTTTCCGTTGGTTAAAGGATACTATTTCCTGAGTGCGTAATGCGATCACTGCTGTTTGCTGTCTTTTTATTTTGGCCGCAATCTGCTGCTTTTTTGTCAGCTGGTTTGCTGTTGTGGACGTCATGACAAAATTTATGTCAAACGAACAACATCCATCGTCGAAACTTTGCTGACTGAATTACTGTAATAACTAATTTCCGCCCTAAAAACCGTTTTTTGGCAGATTGTAAAATTTGTCATCCGTATGTTCATTTATGTATCGTTCCGACTATCAACAAAAATTTCACAAAATTATGCCCTACATATTTTTTTAAAGCAATAAGCAGCCACACCCTTCCGTCAAACGAACTTCCGTCACTCCCGACTGGGAGCTCGTTTTACTCCGCAGTGCATCCGCAACGTAT